AGTTTCATGGACTGTATGGATGGTTTTAAATGTACAATGAGAATCCTTTTTTGGACAATAGTATGGAGCTTAAGTTTTCGTGACAATTCTACAATGATGAGCTTGTTGCTGGTACAATGACCGACCAATGACCTTGAAGTTAAGATTTTAGGGTTTTAGAAATTAAACCCTTCAATGAAATGATTGATGGTTTTAGAATTAGCTAAAACCTTAGGAAAAAAATTAAGGTGGTGTTTGATAACACTTTTCAGATCTTTGAAGTTTGAAAATATTGCTTTTCAGATGCCATTTATGTTTGGGTTGAATCTGAAAATTCAAATCTGAAATGTATTTTTAGATCTGAATTTATAAGAGACAAGCCAATGACTTAATGCGCTCAGATGTTTTTCAGATTGCATTAAAAGACAAAAATGTCCATCTAATGAAATGCATTTTTAGATCTGAATTTATAAGAGGCAAGCCAATGACTTTTGTAGCTGTTTCTTTGCCATCATTGTTCTAGCCCAAATAGCCTTGGGTAGTCTTTTGCATAGTTTTATCGGAAAAATCTAAAACTTTCATTCTCTAACAACCTCCCATCTAATGAAGGTTTCACGGTTTCAGTAGCTAACTGATTTCACATCAAATTACCCCAAAATGTTCACGAGATTAATTTTGTGAATCAACTCTTGTGAGCAGCCCTCAAAGTGCTTGTACAAAGGTTGAGCCAACTACAACCATCATAACAATCATTCTTATTTCAAAATGATAAAGCTGATGGTACTCTTTGAAAATTTGAAGGAAAATAAAGGATAAAAATGTCCTTTTATCGATTCTGTCAAATATTACGGCATCTCATTCAGATAGGGGAGCATCAAGTTCTATTAGAATTTAGAGGGGAGGTATAAGTATTTATGACAAACCTCAAGGGAGGTTTAAGTCCTTTACCCTTAATTATATAGGGAACCCCTCAAGTTTCTATAATTATGATCAAATTATTTGAGTTTCTGAAATTATGTTAAAGCAAATGATATTTGGTAAATTTGGGAATTTCATTTTATAGATACAAAACGAGGGTGACAACATCCAGCCACAATACAAAGCTTTATACAATACCACACCGCACTTTCAGTCGGACTGAACTCTTACGGTTACAACACAGATGTTGGTCCGACCATACACACAACTAATTAACATTCAGTTGCTTCAAAAGTTCAAATAACCTGAAAGAATATTTGCAACCATTAAACCCATATTAACCATAAACCAGGGTGGATTTTGTCTTGAGAAAACTATTTAGACTTGAGACAGCTTTCAAATAAGCCTCAACCTCGAGTGATCCATATTTGGCAATATCTCAAAGAGGGTTAAATTTGGCTGTTGGGGTCCAACAGCATAAGCTGTTAAGACAGTTTCTCACTGGCACATTCTAGGCAGTTCATCTATTCACGCCCATACTTTGGTTTTTAGTCAAAATAAATTAAGATGTAATTACTAATTTATCCATTCTCATGGTAACGTGGCATTTCCAGAAATTCTCTCAACAGCATAGGTTGTTGGCCCCCAACAGCTAAAATCAGGCTTCAGCAATAGCACTTTGTGTTAGCTCTAGGGGTTATTTGCAAAGTAAATGAGATTGAGATGTCTATTATCTCTTTGAGGAAAAGTGAGGTAATAATGATGCTAAAAGTTCTACCTCTTAATTCATTCAAACAAGAAACAACTACTCCCTTTTTTGGCTATTGTGAATTCATGATGATGTTAATAGTTAAAAATGATATTCTTTCAGGCCTACTTTTAATTATGAAGATGTTACATCGTGTTTGAGTTGGGCCAGACTGTCTTAAGGCCAGGAATTGCAATGGGGCGAGGCGGGGACGGGGAGCCTCTCCCCTTCTCCATCGTTCCCACGAAAATCTACACTTCCGCTTTATTACTTTTCGTGATTTTTTATAATGTTAATCATTTTATTTTTATTTTTTTTGAATAAAAAAATAAAATAATTAAAATTTATAATCCTATTAGAAAAGATTTAAACATATTCAATATTAATATATAGATGCATGTATACATATGTACATATATAAATATATGCATACATATATAGTAACGGAGATCCCACAGGGCGGGGATTGGGGTCCTCGCAGGGGCCGGGAGTGCTCTCTCAATGCCCGTCCTCGCAAGGGAAAAATCATCCCCATCCCTATCTAAGACATTAAACTTGAATTTGGCCGACTTAATGTTGGAATGGCCCTAACTCAACCTATTGTTCAGACCTACCAAATCCAGCTTTTTAATCGGTTGGGTTGGTTTGGGCCAACCCAAGTTGTACTTAAAGGCACCAACCAAATCCAACTTTTTTAACCGGTTGGGTTGGTTGCACTTACAGGCACGAACCTAAGGTTTTAAAAGGTTAAAGGCGTTGATGCGTAGTTGAGGTATAATGGCCCAAAAAGTTAAAGTGCAAGTTTCAAGGTGTTGTAAGCCTTAAAGGTTAGGGAAAATTACTTAAAGTTTATAGATGATAATAAAACAAATGATATATCAAATTAAAATGATAGAATGTACAAATATCCATAAAATATAAGTTTATACACAATACGTTATAACTTTTAAGCAATAAAATAATAACTAATCAACTAACAATTATAAACCTTTAACATTTCAAGTTTCAAAATAATAAGTTCTCAAATCTATATAGTATAGTACTAGTACTAAAAGTAGGAATGAGAGTGTAAAACTTTATTTGACTTAAATACCCTTGTTTTTGAATTTGATTCTCTCTAGTTGATTAGTTATTATTTTTCATTGAATCATTTTTGACTAAAATACCCTGATTCAACTCCCTCTTATTAAGTCTTATATTTAAGGTATATAAGATAAAATCACAATGAAATATAAAAATGTAGAAACTCACTAATATTTTATATTAATCATATTAAATAAAAATAAACATGATAAAAAATTATCTTTTATTGATGATGAAAATGAAATAGAAAATTTTAAATTGATAAGAATGAAGTTATTTTCTTATTTGGTGGAAGGTTAATAATTCAACCTTTAGGGTCAAATGTGTCAACCCTTGATATCATAATTAACCAATAAAAATTTAAAAGATAAAAAAACAGAAATTTTGTAGAAAACATTTGGGTACATCCCTAATATTATATATTAATGATATTAAAGAAAAATAAGTGTGATTATATTGATGATGGAAAACAAAATACAAAATTAAAAAAAAAAACAAAAAAAAGGAATTGTTTTCCTATTTGGTGGCATGTCAACCAATTAGCCTTTTGGATCAAATCTGTTAACCATTGATGTCATAATTAAATAATAAAATTTAAAATGACAAAAATAAAAAAAAAATATGAAATACAAAAGCTTTGTAGAAAAGATTTAAGCACATCTCTAATATTATATATATTCATCATATTAAACAATAATAAGTGTGATAAATATGAATTATTTGTACACACAAAAATATAAAAAGATTGTATAAAATTTTCAAAACATATTAGTACTATCATGGCCATTATCATCCAAAATTGTTATGTACAAAGCGTGTGCAAATTTGCTAGTATTCAAATGACCAATCATAATGTTTTAGATGATAAAAAATTCTTTATCATAAAAAATTGTTTTCAAAAATAGGATCATATGATGAATTATCCATATATTAGATTTAGGTCACATAACAATATAGAAGAAAGGAAACAACTTGATTGATTTAATCTATGCAAAGAAAAAATCAATATGAAAGAAAATAATTCCATTAGAAAGAGAAATAAGAAAAATAACAAACTTGGGATGTTAGATTTAGAATAATTAGAAAAAAAAAATCCCACTTGATTTCTTGATTCACACTTTTTTGCATTGAATTCTTTAAAACTCGAAGAGAAACTAATATAACTTAATTTGTCTTATTGATTTTTCATTTTTATTTTTTATTTGTTCATATATAAAATATATATTTTTAATAAACCAGTAAATAATCATGAATGGCAGAAATAGGGCTGCAATCAAATTGAGCTCTAATCCAACAGTTTGGGCTCGAATTTGATTAGGCTCAATTCAAGTTCGTTTTTAATTGAGCTTGAATCAAGTTCAAACCTTGGGGTAAGCTCGATTAGTTATTCGAGCTCGACCAATAAAAGGTTTGGCTCAAAAGCTCCCGAGCTTGGCTCGATTAACACATACATACACAAGGTTTTTAAAACCGAATCAGATAACGAAACGGTCAGGGGTCCGGTTCTCGGGTCGAACGGTCTAATCGTTTGAACTGAACGGACGACCCATCTGACAAAAAAAATTAAAAAATAAAAAATGATCAAAACTATTGAATAGTCCGAACGGTTCAACCGCCCGAATCAGTAGTTTTCTGACCAAATCAACGTTTTTTTTGGCAAACATCCGGTTTTGGGGAAAACAGAATCGATCACCTGACCGATTCCCAATTTTTCCGGTCCGATATGATTTTGAAAACCATGTACATACATACATACATACTAGTAAACATGTATGTACAATTGCACGTGACAGTATCTCCAAGACAAAACTATTTATAATTCATGTCTAATAAAAAGTCTAAAAAATGGGGCTATTGGCTCTTTTATTAGTAGTATAGATATAATAAAAAATATCATATATTATATTCTAAAAAATACTATAAAAATATATTTTTATATTCTATATTTCTATATAATATAAAAATATATTATATATTATAAAAATATCATACATATAAAATATATAAATATATTTATTTTCGAGCTTTCTACGAGACATCGAACTCATTCAATATTTAATCGAATCGAGCTCGAGCCACAAAAAAAATATAATTCGAGCCGATCTCGAGCTCGAATTCGAACCTAACAGTATTTTAATCAAGCCAGGTCATAGATACGCCTCAAGTCTAGTTACGCCTCACGCCTTTTAAGGCTTAAGCCTGTATCCTAAAAACGCCTGCATCGAGGCAGCACAGCACAGCTAAAAAGGCGCTCGTTGTTTTGCGAACATCGCTCCGCTTATAAATGAAATCACTGTTTTGTAGCCGTGTGTAAATACTGGATATTGACAAGTGACGACCTTCCAAGCTGATCCCTTTTTGTTTTTCAAGTTTGATGTTTTGCGGGCCTGATCCCACATTCCACATACATCCATCACGTATTGGGCCCTCAATGTCGCTTCCAGTAGCCAAGGCTTTTTGTTTCTTCGCGAAACGGAGACAAGAGAGAGAAGGAGACGCTAATGGTTCTCTGTAAACTTGGTTAATTATCAAACCCTCTATATATTATTCGAAATCTTCCTGTTTTTTTGTTTATTCAGCTCTACTGGGTTTTTTTATGCCTTTTCATTCTCCTTTTTTCTGTTTAACTTAGTTTCTTTGTTCATCGAGAAAAAGCTATTTAGACCGTCTTGTTGTAATTTTCCTGCTGCTTCAGTGTTAGAGAGAAAATTTCTAGAAACCCATCAAACGATATTACCCAGTAAAATTTGTGGCTTGATTTTTCTTTGTACTATTTTAGTGTTGCCTGTTTTTCTGCTCCAGCTACTTTTTGGTTTTTTATAACATTGAATTTAGTAGGAAAAGAAACACACCTCTTCACCAACAAAACCCAAGTCAAACCCCCCAAGGAAGAAGGGAAAGATATGAAATTGGGTATATCTAAATTAATTGGATTTAAAGCAACAGTTCTGTTCTTGACGTTTGTTTATCTTAGAGATTCAGGCTGGACGCTATTCTCAATTCCCTTCTTGTATGCATCTTTGGTTAGTTTCTTGGTCTCGATAGCCTCTCATCCAGCTATCMATCTTCCTCTGCTTCTGGGGAAAAGCTCAGATGGCACGTTTCCCATTTGGTCGTTAGTTCTGTTTGGCCCATTCTTGTACTTTGTTCGGGGTTTTGGGCTCTTGCGGAGGTTGAGGAGTAGGGAGCCCCCTTACACTGAAGTATATGAGGGTTTATATGTTGGGGGGTGGCCTTATTCATTGGATAAATTGCCTCCCGGCGACCCCGCCATTATTGATTGTACTTGTGAACTCCCAAGAAATCCAGCTTTCTCTCGAAATGCTTATCTATGCATTCCAACGTGGGATACAAGAGCACCTCAACTGTTGGAAATTGATAATGCTGTTCGTTGGGCTTGTAGAAAGAGATCTCAGAACAAGCCAGTCTTTATCCACTGTGCGTTTGGTAAGTTATGATGCTTAAATCCATCTTGTGACTTGAACATGAAATGCAAGTGAACTCTTCTTGTTTATTTGGTCTAGTCTTTTTTTTTTTTTTTGTGGAGCTTTCAATTTGGTCTGCATTCTATAGCCATGTTGGAGTTGCTCAAGGCTGTTTGTTCATCTTTTGTTAGAATCAATATTCTTTGCTTGTGTGGCAGTTGCATAAATCTGTTCAGTTATTTCTAATCTTAACCAACTTTACTATAGGAATTCTCCATGATTATATACACAAGCTGATCTAGATCTCCCCAGTTGGGAATGTAGCATGACATTCAACTCTTGAGTCTTGAAGGAGGCTAAGGGTGAGATGATCTGCTTGAATTTCTGTTTACGGATAGACAGGAGGCTTCTTTCTTACATATTTGGAACGTCTTACCTGTTCTTATCTATATGGAAAAAATTATATGGGAAACATTCATGTGTAGTTTGGTTGCAAGGGGGAAAAACAGTAATGGAAATGCATTATTGGAAAAAAATGGCTAGAGATATATTAGTGATTATTATGCTTTTATTTTAAAACTTGAGAAGGAAAATTTGGAATAGTCAGGAGGACCTGTGTGATTCATGGGTTGGTGTATTTCAAATGGAATAATATAATTTGTTATTTGACTCTTAATCTTGATATTAAGATTAATAAAAGGGCATTGCAGTGCACGAGACTCCTGCCAATGCAAGGTATGAGGAGAGACAGCTGTATGCAGCCTTACCCCTGCACATAGAGATAGGCTGTTACCAAGATTTGAACCTTGGTCACCCAGGTTGCAATGGGTCAGGAGCTGTTTCTTACATATTTGAACCCTGATATTAATTCCAATGAAGTATAAACAGAAACTATATACAACCTATAAAGTTAAAATTTAAAAGATACTTATTACCTTACATTTCAAAAAAAAAATTAAAAGATATTTAAACCGATACTAACAGTACTTTTATTCAAATAACTTTCGCCATAAAATTTTATTAAAATGAATTCAAAAGAATTAATTTAGAGGGGAAGAGCTTCAGAAAATGGGAATATGGTGCAAGGAGAGATGTTAAAGAGGACATGATAAGTGATACATTGCATTTTTTAAGTTAAATTTGTATTTCCTCTCTTAATTAATGTTTTTTTTTTGTTGCTGATAAAAAAAAATCTCGATTGATTGTTCTGGATCACATGGGGTGGTTTGTGTTTCAAGACACCAAAATCAGCAAACTAAATTTTCCTCTGGAAGCTTATGACTGCAATATTGTTTCCCAGACTCTACAAGTTTATGATAACTTGTTTTAGAAGTTGTACTTCACTAATTTAATTTCATAATTTGCTTGTTATATTCTCATTTGTAGCTAACAGGTCATTCTGAATGATGTGCAGGCCATGGAAGAAGCGTTTTGGTGATGTGTGCTGTCTTAGTTGCCATGGGCATTGCTGAAGATTGGAAAAAAGCAGAGAAGATAATTAAAGAACGGCGACCTTATATAAGCATGAATGCTCTTCATCGCAAAACCTTGGAAGAATGGTTGAAACATCGTCTTACTTCTAAAAGGAATGAAGCATTGGATGTGAGTTCTGTGATTCTGGCTGATGCTTCTCGAAGCTAGAGAATAGAGATATCAAAGTTGAAATTTGAAAAACATTCTTTTGTGATAGAATGATCATGTTGACTCAAAAATATGATTTTCAATCGGATTTCTCTTTAAGTTTCTGAATGATCTGATTCTTGATTCTAACAATTAATTTTACATGTGCCAATCAAAAATTATAATTAATTTGAATGCAGCAAGAGATATACATATCCCAATCTCTGTTAAATTCCGTGAGTTGGATAACTTATAGACTGGGTGTTTAAGATGAACTTATTTGGTATGGGGGATTTCCTAGGTAAAATCCATCATATGGTGTCTCCTGTACCTTTGACACGATGAGCTGAAAATCTTGTTGCAACCAAGCAGTTGGCAGTGAAACTTTGTGAAATGCAAAATGTTAAGCTAATTATGGATGTCTTTTATTCTCTCTCACTCAATTGCTTATTTTGTGAAAATCAAAACTTTACTTGTTGTGCTTGTCAAACAATCCAAGCTCTAGAGATGAAGAGCTCCATTCATCTAATTGTAAGAGATCCTTTTAACTATGGTTCTTAACTCTTTAAGCATTGATTTGTTGAATTACTTCTTTATCCTTAGTGCAATAGGAAGAGAATGTCTTGAATGGATCACACCCTAAGTTAATAACAATTTGATAGCCTGGAATATTGTAGAGCTGAGATTATAGGTTCCACATGTCCAGTAGAACAGTTCATAGAGGAAATGCATCATTTGGTTTTTCATTTCCTCTAGGGGAAAAATTCATAATAGTTCTATTACTGTTACTCAGAATATCTGTGGTGCATTGGATTCAATGCCCATGCCACATTTTTATCTAGTAGAAATTTGAAGATGATAGAGGTGATAACAGATTGTGGAACTGCTCAGTGCAGTACAGTTGAATTCAAGTCAGTTGGAGGTTTATGCAAAAGATGAGCTGTTACACAGATGTTTGGTTGGCTGATTTTTTTATTCTTGTATGTGAATGTTCTCTTCATTGGTCAATGGAGTTTCATGTTGATTGCTGGTTTCCAGAGGTTGGCAGTATCAGAATGACAAATTCTCTAAGATGTTTGGATAAACATAGTTGGTATTTCCCTCTTCATACTTGGTGTATTCTAAAGTTTGAGACAGTTGCTAACAAATGTCGATGATTACTTTTGACTGAAAGGATGCCTCCTTGAGGTTCATTAGACATGCAGGGATTCTTAGGAGTCAAAGATATGACCTCTACATGTTGACTTATTGTTGCAAGAGAGGTTTATGAAGTCAAAATCATGCTTGAAGGTTAGGAGCTTGTTCTCTCTCCTGACTGCGCAAATGGAGTATACATGGAGGTCATGCACCATTTAGCCTTAAATGGGTCATTGAGGGAGTCTGTACAACTTTCAATGAGAACATGTTGAACAAGGAAGTTATTTAGGGGGGGGGGAGGGGAGGCTTTGATAATTGGGATTTGCATTGTGTGTGGTTTAGTCATAATAATATCTACACTTGGACTGAGTTAAGTTTTGGAATCAAATATCATTTAATGGAGGGTATTATGTTAATTACTCCCTGTTTGTGGTTGATTGAGGAAGACTTTTGAGTTTCCCTTTTGATCAGTTTTCTTTACATTCTCCAGTAAATAGAAAGGTGTTTGTGGTTAAAACCTTGTTTTATTGATTAAAAAAAGGTGTTAATGTGGAGAAGGATGAATCTCAACATGAAGTGGAGAGTTCTCTGCCAGAAAACAAGGCTATACCATTAATGATTAATCATGACAAGTTCATTTGAGAGGTTCAGAGGTCTAATACTATAATGGAAGCTTCTAATATTACTGGAGTTACGGTTGCCACAATGCCACAGCAAATCCAAGGAGGGATCATGATATTGTATTTCAATACAATGAAGTGTCTAGTGGTCAAAAGGGAAGGTATGTTAAGAATGGTCTAAGCCCTTCAATGCTTGTTCATGATGATGTAAAAAAGAAGAGTTCACCACTTGGTTCTTCTAGTGAGGGAAGAAATTGTGACAGGCTGCAGATTGGAGCATAGCATTGCTTTAAACGTGGGCTCACTGGGCAGTTGGGCCATCAAAACTGGGAACTGGCAGCCAAAATGATTTTTAGACTGCCCGGTTCTTAGAAATGTTGGCCTGGTCAAACTTCAAATAAGTGTATTAGTACCTATTACAACCTAAAACATTTATTGTTTTAAGCTTATTTTAATATAAAATAGCTTTGAAATATAATCTGAAAGTATTTATTATTTTTATTTTACTGAGTCAAATGGTTGAACCAGAAGGCCAGACCATATAACCTGTGACTCAGTGACCAAAATGGTTGTGTCCAATCTGAGTCTGACAATGTTGAAGCAGATGCAAACAGAGGTTTTGATTATATAGGAATGGTTTAGAGGGGAAATCGGCTAATGAGGAAGGTGCTGAAGTTTATATTTTGATGGAGGTGGATGATGGTGCTGAGTTGGTAAAATCTTAGTTGTGTTTTTCGTAAGGACCTCAACTAGAAGGTTATGAAGGAACAAAAACTTGGGTTTTATCAATACATCTGCAGATCTGCTATTAGTATTTCCTTCCATATCATTCATATAATTATTTTTTCAGCGTCTTTCAGGCTGTGTTTAGATTGTGGCTGAAGTGGAAACACAGAGAGGAAAATGATCCAGGAGAGAAAAAAGAAAAAAAATTCAATAAAATAAAATAAAACAAAAGAGTTCAGTGAAACATAGAGAACGTATTTTTAGCTGTTTGTATATTGACGAGGATAACCGTTTCCATTACCCATTGAATCTCAGAATCCCCCTACAATCTAAATCCAGCCCCATGTATTCTCGGTTCTATGAGGGAAGCTTAGATTCAAATGGATCATTAGCTCATGCTCTGGTTTGGGGTATGTTTCAGAGGAGCATGTACTTGGTTTCTGTTTCTCTTGGGTTATGTTTGGTTAGAAGGAAAAAGTAGGGAAAAGAAAGGAAAGGAAGGAAAAACCTTTACAAATCTTGTATAGGTTTCCCTGCATTTCCCTTCCTTTCCCTACTCTTTCCTTCAAACCAAACATAGATTTAGGGACTTAAATTTATGAATTTTTAGTATTATTGTGATATTATTTATTGCTGACCATGTTAGTTCGGATAAGGCGTGGATGATGATGATGATTAGATATTATTTATTATGGACTTACCTCAGCAGATGCATCTTGTGGTCTTGCTACTTGTTTAGGGGCTTGATGGTTGAGCCCTTTTGTTACGCACATAAATGAACCTTGAAAAAGGGTGTAGAAAGAAAAGAAATTACACTTTTATATGAATGATCACTTTATCCATCCCACTCTGAGCTTTCAGAAACTCCATTCTTACCCATGACAACTTTAGTTCTTGTCTCCAGCTTTTGGTTATGCTAAAGTTTCTGAAGGGATGAGACCAAATAAGACCTGATTGAAGACCTCTGTTGTGACCAAATAAGAACTACCAATGACAGATTGACAAGAAAATCACCAACCTTGAAGAATAGGACTAGATGGACATTGGAATTGCTCATGATGGAATCCGATTTACACAAAGTTAATAGAGTTGGACAAGTTGGCAAAATGGAAGGATTTGATGAGGTGGAATCCATCAAGAGAATTTCTTAGGCTGGTCCAGCCCTATACTGTTTCGGTGTGAGTTGAAGTCTGTAACTGAAAAAAGAGGAATAATGAGGACTTGCTTTAGTACTTGAAAGTGAAATAACTAGGAACATCGATTCTGTTCCAAATGATAAAACAGTACGTCCTCGGTCCAAACACCAAGAGAGTTTCCATTACTGGCAATTTTGACATTGTGGCTGTATTTGAAGCTAAAATTCTGTCCACTCTGGTTTATCTCCCCACAAACAGAAGGAAAAGAAACCAACATGGAGTTGCAGTTATATACATTGGCCAGAGTGTATTGCACTAAATTAAAGCACCCATAGGAGTCTCAGAATCTTCTGAATGGATCAATTATCTGTGCACCCACCACCGACTAAATGAGTCCAAGACCAGGCAAGTCTTAGTTGAGCACATTGATGTCTATGGTTATCATCTGTACTCATTGACCCAGAGGAGGATCCTATAGTAGTAGTGGAGTCCATCAATGTACTCAACTAAAACAGACTACAGTGCCAAAATTGCTGCCCAACACCCTCAAACACAAAATGTTCCTTCTGTTCCACCTCCGGCTACTGCAACATTCAAGGCTGCAACTCGATTGTTAACGTTATGTTTGGTTTGAAGGAAAAGGTAGGAAAACCCATACAAGTTTTGTAAAGGTTTTCTTACCTTTCCCTTCCTTTTCATACTTTTTCCTTCAAACCAAACACAGCCCAAGGGAGTAGAAACTTCCCATCTTGGAGATGAAGAGAGATCATGACTTTATAGCCTGAAATTGAATTGAATTGTTTCTTCTGTGAGTATATGAATCAACAGGGGTTGTGTGGAATAATATTACTGAATAAGCAGCATTTCCAACCCAAGTTCAAGGACCTTCTAAGGTGCTCCTACAGGTACAGGAACGAGCAGGTGGGTGAACTGAATCAAGAATGGAATGTTTACTCCGTTGATTTATCAAACCATTGTCCAGCCTTTGCTTCCATGAAGACCATAAAAGAAGCTTCATATATATACAAGCATGAAGCATTGGGCTGGGCTGGGCCAGCATGGGCTGGGTTAGAAATGCTCACCCCGATATACAGATGCCACCATTACTCATTAAAGGGGTGTTCTATAATGTGAATGTTTTTGTTTTCATCTATCTTTGAAACTGCCACATCACTGAAAAAGCAAAACATGTCCTTGAAGTTTGTTTTTGGTTTGACAAAAACAAATTGGTTTTGTTTCAAAAAACAAAAACAAAATGATAGTTTTTAAAATAAAAGTAAATGTTGGAGAAAATATATTGTATGATTCATGAAAGATGATGATAAATGTTGGAGAAAATATATTGTATGTATATTGTAAGATTTAAAATGAAAACATGTTATTCCAATTCAGAAATTCAAGAACATGTTTTTTCCCGATTTTAGGAATGAAAAACACATTTACAATCAAGAACATGTTTACCATGTTTTTTATTTAAGAATAATTTGTTTCCAAACAAGATGGTTTGTTTGTGGAACTCAAAATAAGAAAAACTTTTATGCCCCGTTTGCTTTTTGGTACCCAAGTAAGTGTTTCCTAGGAAAGACTTACCCGGGT